TACCTAAAACCCAGTTTGCACTGGTTCAATGTTTTCATAAATCTGGCCCAAAAATGTTCAGTGAACAAAAACTACTGTAGCTGCTCCTGAGTGGAGGCCCTTTGTTGTGCCTACCTGTATGCAGCGGTGTTGTATGAAGTTGGGTGTGAACTGTAGGAGGTGAAGACAGCACTGCTGCTCACTACTTTGAGAGGAAGACGCACCCACCTCTAAGCACTGGGACCAGAGGGCATTGCACTAAAACTGGACTATGTTCATCCAAACATACGGCGTGACAAAGAAAATCCTAAAATTTTTAAAGTGGTGGAAATAGAGGGAAAAAAACTGCCTTTATTTCCCAATGTTATGAGCATAGCAACTGAATAATGCACTCCAGGAAACATACTGTAAACATCACAAAACCCCTTCAGAAAACCTGATACTGTGTTTGGGTCACAGGAACACAAACGTATTCGTTGAAAGTTCTTTTTACCGAGCGTGCCTTTGACTGGGTAGAAAACCAAAACGTTTATTTTCTTTTCTCCCATGAATCACGTCCTTTGAGATGAGTCATCTGTATAGCCTACAAATGTTTTCTATGTATATGCATTCTTCCACATGGACTGAAAATGTTACCTCGTACGTGCGTTTCACTTCACGTTAAATCTGTACCAAAGGTCAGAACTGGATGGTCGGGGAGGTTGATTGAAAGGCAAGAATGAAAGGATGCAAGAGGAAAAGGTAATTAATTTCATGTCTTAAGGAAAAGATAATGAACGCCTCAGATGGGCTTTCCTCATCGCAGTGGCATTTTATGTACGCATGAACCTAAAACTAGAATTACATCATACGATTGGCTTGTTTAAAATCAAACACACACAAAGAATCTTAATTATTTTACTCTGTATTTCCAGCTGGATCAAAGCCACCAGATCCATTCTTTAATTGTTAGGTGATTCACACCTTTGTTAACAAGTAGGGCAACAAATTAAGTGTTGTAAGGGGTAGAAAGACAAATTTGAGAAACTTCATTGCTCTTCTTTCCATCCCTGAGCCTTCCTCTTTACCCAAAGTCTTACATTTTACCAATAACCATTAAAAACTAATACACTTTAATGAATTACAAACTCATACTTTGATTTTTCATGGAGCGAGGCAAGTGCTGCAGGAAAACTGTTGAACCTGACCCAAAGGCAGACGAGCTGGTGTGGCAACGAGGCGATGATTAAATCAAGCATTAAATCCAATGAGTGAGAAGGAGCGCAGCTGTGGAAACCAGATCCAAAGCTCGCCTGGGTGTGATGAAACGATGCAGGGGCTAAACAAGATGCTATTCATTAGACCTCTCCTTGAGAAAAGCATCCAGCAGCTGGGATTACTGTCTGCGACCTTAATTACCCCCTGACTCACTTTAAACTTATTCGATTCATAAAACTCATCTGGTTCAGCCAAGGAAGACAGATCTGTGCACGGTATCCCAGCCAGACTGGGAGAATGAGTATCATGTGACACACTGGAAGGCTATTTCATTTAAAAGCCTGCAGCAATGCTCCCTTCTGCTGGGCGAGAGCGAAGCTGTAATCACACTAAGCTCACAATGATACTGCTGATTAGGAGCAGAGTTGTTCAGGGGTGAAAGAAAACATCAAAAATGCCAGACATCCTGATGTGACTTTTGAACAATCAGCTACTGATATCAATCAGCCAGGGACAGGAAAATTGAATGATTACCACGGCGCGAACAAAGAGAGCAGATCTCCGTGCTTTAGCCCACCTTGACCCTTAATAAACAGCAGTACTGGGGTTTTGTCTAAACAAAAGGCTTCGTGAGTGTGAGAGTGCAGACATTGTGAAAGCAAGCCTCTCTCCCACCGCAACGCAAGCACCAAAACAAACCTCGTGTTTGGTTGCCACAGAAACAGCTGTGCCGGTGCAGAGTGTGGGGCAGAGGAGGAAGTACTCAGCTGAACTCCTGCTGTACCGCTGATATATGAGAGGACAAAGCCGCACATTAAGGTCTCTCTCCATGTAAAATCAACAGCACTCCCATGACGTGGGTCAGATTTTCTGGACCATTAGCTCCGCTGAAGCATGAGGCCCTACTTATTCTGAAATTTATACCCCCGTATGAATATTTAAGGCTGTAGTTCACTGAATATTTCTTAATTCTCTAAACCTCACGAGCGCTTCTCCTGACAGCAAGAGGTTTGGAGCTCGGCAGGGAATAATATCAGTGAAGTGATGAAACTTGTGGAAATACTGAAAACTTTCACTGGGCTGGAGAAAAGGATACCAGATCGATGACACTTTCATACAAAGAGACGGTTTCGGTTTTTATTTCTGACTCCAGTGAACTCCAGATAAAAAAAGTTAAAAGGCCGGGACTGAAAAGGGCTTTTGAAACTTTTTTTTTGCTAGAGATATCTTAAAATGCTTTCCTAATATCAATTCTGTTTTAGGGATGTTTGATGTAAAGTACAAAGACATTTTTTTGCAGTACCAATCAGCTTTTGAAAAATGAGGAAAATGAAGAATAAAGCTGTGAAAAGATTAAACTCGGCCGTGTGTAAAAGTCCTGAAGCATCTCTCATTTCTTTATATTTTACTAAGAAAATGGGAAATACGTGCAGTGGTTTATTTAAATGAGCCAGTACACATGGAAATACAGTATATGAGGCAAAAATTAGCTTTTTACAATTCTAACAAGCCTGAAAGTCAATATATGTCGTTATTTAACCCCCTTTATTCTTCAACCCAGTCTGAACTCTCTTAGGCAGCTTTCTTGTCATTTGTTTAAGTAGTCTTCAGGAATAGTTCTCCAGGCTTCTTGAAGGACATCCAAAGCTCTTTATTGGATGTTTGTTCTGTTCTCTGTCAACACAATGCCACACTGCTTCGATAATGTTGATGTCCGGGCCCTGGGGAGGCTAATACACCAGCCTTTTTGCCGTGTTTCCCTTCCTTAAGAATGGCATCTTAATAGACACTTTCACTGATACTATTTCCTGGCTAATAGCTCTTTGGGAATCCACTCGTTGGTGCGAAGATAGTATTTTATGTCTGTCAAACATGATCATAGATCAACATTTAAGTGGCTTAACAAAAAAAAAAAAAAAAAAAAGCATTTGTCTGAAAATGGGTGCAAGAACTGTATGGCGTTATTTTTGTGCCACGATTCTGAGCGCACGTAAAAAAGTTTGCAGGTGCAAGTGTTGTATTTTGAGGAGAAATTTATTTTTGAGCAAAGAAAAGCTGAATTTGAGTGAACAAAACATTGCTGCGTGGAAAAAATGTATTTCCGTGTTTGCCATTATCCACACACACATACAATAGCAGCCCCTCTCGCTCAGTTTTCGCATTTGCGCTCACTCACAATGTGTTGCTCGCACTTTCAACATTTCTGCCCGTGCGCGCTCAACTCGTTCTGTACACCATTATATTTGTGCCACAAAACCAGCCAATCACAGACTTGGATGCAAAAAAATCTGATTGGCTGTTCTGGTCTCCAATCAGCTCGAAATGACGAAATGCAATATCCCAGAATCCATTTCATCCAAAACTCAAACGAGGCAGTGGCGGAGGAACACAGAGTGGCGAAGTTTGAAATATTACTCTTTCTGGGTCACAAAATAAACTTTTAAGATATTTTCATGCGAGAATTTGCTGTGTAAACTTCAAATTTCTGCTCGATTCATCAAGACATCACATATTTGCATAAGTGCTCTGACGTTTTCGGAGATGCCTGTTACCCACCAGCTGACCGCGTGGGAACTCGGGTTAAACATAATATATAAAGCTGGACTGACAAAAAAAAATCACCGACTACACCACCAGGTATTATAGGAAAAACCATAAAGCTGTTGTCACAGTGATATACACTGTCTTGTTGGTATATATGTATGATTTGTATCACCTTCATGTTTCCAAACCGACACCATGACCAGCAGCTTTTGCAGCTGTGGCTCCAGCAAACATCAGCTGATACTAGAAATTAATATTAAATAAATTCTAACAACAGCTGATCAAGCTTAAACGTGCTGCTGTTGTTTAGCATGACATCTGCTGGTTTGCTGTTTCTGGCACAAAGGAGGAGATAAACAAACAAGAGAGACGATCAGCTGATCATTGATCAGTTTCATGACTGAAGTAGCAACAGGAGAGGGAGGGAGGGAGAGAGAATGAGGGGAGAAGAGGCAGCTGTGCAACGTAAAGACAGAATAACTCCAGCTTTGTGTCTTTTTTTCATTCTAGCTGAAGTCCGGGACTAATCACGTTCCTTTTACCCTCAATACGGATGTATTGTAATCGGTCGAGCCCAGAGTTGATCATGACCAATTGACTAATCACTGGTGGGTAACAGGCATCTCCGAAAACGTTAGAGCACTTATGCAAATATGTGATGTCTTGATGAATCGAGCAGATATTTGAAGTTTACACAGCAACATTCTCGCATGAAAATATCTTAAAAGTTTATTTTGTGACCCAGAAAGAGTAATATTTCAAACTCTGCCACTCTGTGTTCCTCTGCCACTGCCTCGTTTGAGTTTTGGATGAAATTGATTCTGGGATATTGCATTTCATCATTTCGAGCTGATTGGAGACCAGAACAGCCAATCAGATTTTTTTGCATCCAAGTCTGTGATTGGCTGGTTTTGTGGCACAAATATAACGGTGTGCAGAAAGAGTTGAGCGCGCACGGGCAGAAATGTTGAGAGTGCAAACAACACATTGCGAACGAGCGCAAATGCGAAAACTGAGCGAGAGGGGCTGCTATTGTGTGTGTGTGTGGATAATAGCAAACACTGAAATACATTTTTTGCACGCAGGAATGAATTTTGTTCACTCAAATTCAGCTTTTCTTCGCTCAAAATAAATTTCTCCTCAAAATACAACACTTGCACCTGCAAACTTTTTTTTACGTGCGCTCAGAATAGTGGCACAAAAATAACGCCATAGAACTGGACTTAAAATGAATACAAACAAAGCAGAAAGAAAAACTTTGAAAGACTTTGAAACCCATTCAGAAAGCCTGGAGAGCCATACAACCAAGTCTGGCTTCTTGGAGGCAAAATACAAAGAAATGAGGGCTGGCTCGAGACTTGCACAGCACTGTGTGTGCCATTTTTGTTTGTTGATTACTCTAAAGAAGATAGCCACTTGCTGACTATCACCACATGGGGATTCAGTCACTGTTTAAAGGATAAGAGGATCGCACCATGATTGGTGAGATCTTCTTATGTTGTCCTGAGCTGAGTGTTTACAAAAAGAACATCATGCAGCATCAAATAAGACTTGAAACTAGCAATTCAGGTGGAAAATGCATACTAAAGTGACCCAAGTGAGGCGTTGGGTCTCCTTGTCTCTACAGTCAGACCTTCTGCCACCAGAGGACTCTGCCCCTGCTGGACATTAGAAGCAATGCAGATTTAAAGCACTGGCTTAATCCATCTTTCTTATCCAGTCTACTGAGCATAAAAACTACACATTTAAACAAGTGCATTAGATGACAGCAGTGTTTATCTAAATCAGTGTATCCGTTTCTTGAAATGCCAAATGCTAAATAAACATGCTACAAATACATTTACAGAGTATGCCATCTGTGGCTGAGGTTCCTCATAACTGTGGAAACACCTTATCACTGTACTGTAAACAGGACATAGTTTCTACTGTGCAAGGACCGATCCAAAAGTGATGCACCCCAGTGTGCTGCCCTGCTGCTCTGCATGTAAACATGGTCATTAAAAGTGATTGCACAGTAAGTGGAGCAGTAAGTTGTTTAAGAAAACGCGAAATGCGATGTGTCTCATGAGATGCCCTCATATGAGGACTGTGATATAAAAGCACTGGTTTCTAAGCACAAGTTACACTGTTGGTATCATTACCAGGATGAAGTGGAACTATATTGGGGCCATTAGCAGTTTGCAGCAAAGATTTTTTTTTTCATTTAATCATCAAATCATTCTCAAAATACCTGTTACCATTTATTTGATTAACTGCTGGACTTAACAGCTTTCACCATACTTGTAGTTTTCTTCAGAAGAAGCACTGATGTGTATTAAAGTTTGCACAAAACTGTCTAAATGTATCATTAAACATATTGTGATATTGCTGAAAGGATGTTTAATGCATTTTAAAAATAGTAGAAACCTTTTCCTTTACTGAAAATTGCTCTATTTCATGTCAAGTTACTATATTTTTAAGCTACAAGCACAAAATACTGCAGTCATGCAGCAAAAGTTTGGCAGTGTGTCCATAAAATGTGATGTGATATCCTCTAGTGGTCATTATGAGTATTACAGTCAGTGTTTGCTGAGCTCATGGGCACAGTTCAGCCAGAAAAGAAGTAAAGCCTTCAAACACACCTCTTTTTCATGCAGTCATCTACTGTATTCACTTCTTTCCTCATTGTCGTTGCTATAAGTCATAATGGAGAAATCTGTCATTGTTCCCTCAGCAGATACCTCTAGAAGCATTCCGACGTCCAGGACCGACAAGAATCCCCAAACCGAAGGGCTTCTGCTCCCAGAAAGGGACAAACAGCACAGCAGGAAACCTGGGACTGCAGTGCAAGAGTCAGCCGCCACAGACTCACGTACCTGGTGGGAAAGAGCAGGCCTCACACACAGCTGCATCGCACAACAACCCAAATCTAGCAAACCGGAGACTGTGAAATCAATCATTTCTCTTCAGGAGGAAAGCTTTCAGTATGTCGACGCCAAAAACATACCCGTAGTTAGCTGATATATCAAACAGGATAACAATCATTTTAAACTGATGAAGACTTTAAGAGAAGATCCATCATGACCCATGATTCATCTGTGGTGCTTTCAAGACTGCAAAACTGCAACTGTTCAGCGTGTGCACTGCAAAAACTAACAAGTCACAGGAAGTACATTAAATGTGGATTCATTTAATTATTCACTGATTACAAACCAGTAAATAACTTTTTCTGTCAGATTTATGTGGGGAAGCCACTGTGAGAATTTAAAAAAAAGAAGCATAACATTAGATCAGCAAGCGTGTTATATGTTGTTTAATGAAATATTTATTTGTATTGTGACTATTTTGGTTCATCTTTGCTTACTTTTTATCTGTTGTCGGATACAGATGATGAAACAGCCTTTTATTCATTTCGCAGGATAGAACATGTTTGTATTTTTTAAGTGACAATAATGTACATACTGTAGGTATATAACTGTTGTAATGCAGCTCATTCATAGTGATTATGTGTAAATTGTGACATTTGTGGGGGTTTTTTGGTTATCAATACAAATCTTTTTATACCTTGAACTTGAGAAATGTTTCCTATGTGACTAAAAAGAAAATCTTATCGACTGAGAGCATAAAGGAGAAACTGACAAAGCCAGTAAACATTATAGTGCGATAAGCCCAGATCATATGGATACTTAATAAAAGCTAGCTTAGAAAAAGAAATTGAATGTTGCCTTACTGTGGTCATTTTAACTCACGCAAAACTGCAAAAGCAGCTTTACGTGATACCTTCAGTATATCCATTGTGCAGCAGGAGCAACAGTTTTTCCATGCATACACCATATAGATATTTCACTACAAGACAAGAGTGGATCAGAGAAGATTGTAACACACATACATACGTCAAAATTTTAAAATCTAGAGAAATGATGTGGAAGATTTTCGGGAAATAGCAATTTTGTATTATTAATTGGTCGACGTTCAGCAGCTCGCACAATTCGGGGCTTACGTTTAATTAATTGTGACGCAGTACAGAAAAGGTGGCAAAAGATGCAGACTGTGAACACTGGCTGCATACAAAAACAGCCAAGCAAGTCATTGACAAGACTTTGCAGTATTGTCAATGAGAGCACGACTGATATAGAATTTTTACGACCGATACTGGTACCGATATTAGGTGATATTACAAATCTGATACATTGATCGACATTTTTTTTCCATTCAAACACACAAATCATAAACAGATTTGTCTAACATTTCCTATGAGTAATTATTTGAGTAGTTACTAAGATAATATAATAACACTGCTTAAATATCGACTCCCTTACTGTCTGCTCGAATTGGCTGGTTGTTGTTTGAAGCATTTAAAACACGTGTTGCAAACAGGAAAGTTGCAGAATGCTCTATGAACATGTGTTTGAATAAGTAAATAAGTGCTCAAACAGAGTAGAAAAGCGCTCCACAAGTAGTGGTCCATTTTCCATAATATAATGGCAGGTCGCTAATATCGGCCTCTGTTTCCGTTGTTTGCTATCTTACCTGTTGTCTTCTACAAACAATGTCCAGAAAAGCTTATTCAAGAGTTTCTGAAACAAAAATGGCAAATAAACCTTTCTGTCTTTAGCCTATTGCGTTAAGGCTGTTTGGATGATTTCTTATAGTTTTTATTGGAAGTTTAATCATTTACAAATGTGCTAGAAAGGACTATTTTTCAGTTTCCCCCATTAATAAAAGTATCTTTGATAGAGAATTTAATACAAAATAAAGAAATACTGATTAACAAAATCAGTTTTTTGCATGCTACTCTGCATGTTTTGAAATTTTAGGAACATAAGAAAGGGGAAAAAAATGAAACTTTTGGACTGTGGTTTTTTTCATGCTGTATTACATTTATTACACCAAAAAACAAGACTTAGAGCACCACTGTTCTTTATCAGACCTTTCTCATATCACAAAAAACTACCAGAAATACATCAGTTGAGGCAACAGCCTACTTTACATCTTCCAGACAGTTACCTGTGTTTTTCTCACACCAGTCAGAGATTACACAGACTTTGAACCTGGGAGCTGGCAGGATGAAGTCTGCTTAACGTCTGATCTGACTCAACATACAGCTCTGCTTGGTATTGCTAAGAAAAGGTCAAGACAGCATGTGAAACTGTGTGAAAATGTCTAATGTCTAATGAATAACTGTATCGCTAAATGGAGTATAAGGATGTTGTAAACTCAATTCAATTTTATTTATATAGCGCCAAATCACAACAAATGTCGCCTCAACAACCCAACAATCATATGACCTCTACATTTTCACACTTAACTACGACATTAAAATAGAATTTCCTTCATAAATTTTAGTTTCCAAAAACCTTTTGACATAAAAACAGTCAAACAGTCTTTTTCCAAACCTCGCTGTCACTGATGTCCTGCCAAAGCACACTCTATAGCTGAACACAGCACAGATAGGAAGTGCCGTCTCTCTTCGCCTCTCTGTGTGGCACAGACCCAGGAGTGGCAGGGACCCTCAAGGACAAAGGCATGGCTCACATCTACAGAGAAATACATGAATAAAGTTGTAAGCTTTAGAATTAAAGGTGCTTATTTTACCCACTAGAGGTCAGCAAACACTGAAAAACTCACAGCGTGTGTGCCTGATCTCTCTCACAGACAGGCTGGTGAGAGCCACAGAGGCCAGAAATGTGTGCGTGCTCTGGTGAGCCAGCGTGAAAGGTGTGTGCCGCACATTTTGCCGAGTCAACACCAAAGCATTGTTGAGCAGGAAGAGGCCCACATCACAGACGTGCTCATAGGTCCTACGGCAAAGGATTAGTTCAAAAACATTTGGTAGCACTTTATAATAAGGGTGTAATTCCCCTGTAATAAAATGGAATTTCAAAGTATTTTATCTCAAATTAAAATGTAATTATACTGTGTACTGTAAGTAAATGTAAGTACTGTGCAAGTAATTCAGGTAGTGTGCAATGTCATGGCAATTTTGCAGAAAAACAAACACTATTTCCCAACTTGCAACTTTCAGTTCAGTGGACGTACTATGGAGTGTATTAAACCTGTCTTTTGTTTTTACATCTTTATTTTTTTCTTTATTTAATAGCAAAGGATTAATAGCAAAGTTATTCTGTTCCCATTCAAACCGTGCAATATAACCCAACAATATTTCATCGAATGTTTGTTTCATCTCCCCATAATATCCTGCTACTCTCTTTTATTCAATTGCATAATACTATGTCACTTTTAGAATCACCTGCACTGATAGCTAAGATATTTATTTTTCAGGATATAGTTATATTGTTACTTCGTTAGAGTTAATTGATATTATATTTTGCACTATCCTACTGTATACTACTATTCTTATTGTATATGTTATTCCTCTGTTCTCTGTCTCTCTTGCTGCATTGAGCATGTGTATGACAAAAGAATTTCCCTCAGGTTAAATAAAGTTCTTCTTATCTTATCTTATCTTATCTTATCTTATCTTATCTTATCTTATCTTATCTTATAATGGAGCCAAGTATAACCTTTTTTTTCTCTTTCACAATCACTGTTCAAACACAACTTTTAAAGGAAGTGTCTTGTTTCATGTAAAATACCTGGAAGTTAGGCAAGATTAAGCTACCACATAATATAGTCCGCACCCAGAAAAGTGCAGCGTAGTTAGCTTGAAAGACAGGGAGATGTTGGGTTTTTTCACAAAATTAACAAAACATTAAACAGTACTTAAAATTACTTACAATGCAATTCTTCTTTCTTTCCCGTAAATATATGAAGTTATGTAATACTTAAAATACTTAATTAAAATTACTTACAGTCTGCTTAAATTTGAAATTCCATTTAATTACAAAAGAATTACACCCTCAGTTGTGGGCCGTATTAAAAAGTGTTACTAAGCATTTGAATGAAACAGACAAGTACATACGCATGCAAAGTTACATAAAGAAGAACATTATTATACTGCAAATATACACATGGTTACAAAATAGTCTGAATCTGAGCACGTAGCATCGTGAACATTGAAGAATGTAAAAATATTAGTCATACATCTGCTGTCTGAAAGAAAATTGGTGTTTTTACTTGAGAGAATCTGGTATCTGCTCATCAGGGCTCCTGTGCAGAGCAGCATCCTGAGTCATTATTAGTTGCCTGTTTTCTTCACTGAGGTTCTACACACACACACACACACACACACACACACACACACACACACACACACACAAATATATGGTTTTGAGCATATATGATAAATTATTAAAGAGTTAGAGGCATGAAGAGAGAGGAAGGGCTATGTGTGTTTTTTGTATTTTTTACCGGACAGCCTTGAATCTGTCGCTGCGTTTCCTCTATCAGTCTGTCTGCCTCTGAGGTGCGCTTTAACTGAACACAACAAAGTACATATGCATAAGAGGAGAGCCAGCACAGCCACAACAGAGGCATTTACATGGCTTATAGCTCTCAGTTCATGCATCACCTTGTGTATGAACTCTCTGAACTGGAGCAGCGTGTTGAGGGCAGAGCGGAGATGTGCGTGGTCAGGATGACCGGGGTGTGTGTGCAAAGACAGAGCTTGAAGCAGAGTCACATACTCCTGCATCCTCCACACTGGGCACAGCAGCAGCTCTTGTAGGCTTCATAAACACAAACGTACTTTGAAACACTGTGGTTTGATACATGCAGGCAGGTATGCATAATAGCAAATAAAAGCTTTGTGTCTGCTCTTACCTCAGCATGTGAGTTGCAAGTGTTCTGTCTGATCTCTTCAAGAAAGCTCGAAATGATGGTTTGCTCTCCCTGCACTGACGCAAATACATGTACAGATACACCACAATTAAATTCAGATATATTTTTGTGTTTAACTATTAGAGCCGAACAATAGTGTGTACTGCATCTTCCGTAAACCAGAACAAACTCGTTTTAATCGTATACTTTATTCGTACCTGTATGAGCCACTTTGCATGGCTTTTGTAAAGGGAAGATTACTCAATAAAAAAAAAATTCAACCTCAATCAAAATAAATAGAGAAAATCAATTTTCTTTTAGAGTAAAAACTACAATGTCACACACTCTCAACGCTCAGCTAGCCAAATCTGAAACCCAAAGAATACATTATGTACCATTAAAATTATAAACTGCAGTAATGTTTGACCTGTTTGTGCTGCTGGCCATGAAATGAAAACACTTATATAATGCTTTTATAAGAGGTTAAAGGTGCTAGAAATACTAGAAATTGGTTATTTTAGCCCTTTGGTAGGTGGTTGCTATGCAACATGATGATGGCATTGATTGTTAATTGTCAATTGTCATGTAAACCATTTCTGCTAAATTTCAAGTTATGTACGATTAAACAAATGTTCTTTGTTTAAAAAGACACTGGCTTTACCTTATCGATGGTGTGGATGGCAGTGGTGTAGTTGTTGAGGTAGTTTGTGTAGACTTTAAGTTTTGAGCAGAACTTCATGAAAACATCTCCAATACACTTCTCTGCACCCCACTGCTGTAGCCGCACCTGTAAATCAGCCTGAAACACCCTGTGAAGTACACACAAACATGTCTCCCATGTCATATCCACACAGACCGACAACTTAAAGGGTGGTTAAGTTGACTGTGTTACACCTGTGTGGCCTGAGAAGGTCATCATTTCCCTCACTCCCTTCGAGGAATGACACAGGTCGTGTTTTTTTCACACTAGTGCCAATACCAGCACACATACATTTCACTGATTTGAGCATTCATTATCCTAACATCTCCTCATATCACATGTTTATTTATTTATTTGATTTAGTGAATAAAATAATGATTGGCAACACACCCTGCTTGGTCTCACATCCTTGTCATTGGCCGGCAATTAGGGGCTCGTCCGGGATCTAACTGATGTTTGGAGACAGTTTGCTTTGTCCTTTGACTCTTGCTCCAGGTCAGGTGGATACCGTTTCCACCTCTGACCTGGAGCAAGTGTTTTGTGGAGATTTGGCTTGTTTTGAAGTCACCTTACATATTCAATTAAATTCTATTTTATTTATATGGCACCAAATCACAACAACAGTCACCTCAAGGCACAATTACATGACCCCCTATGAGCAAGCACTTTGGCAACAGGGGAGTCACCGCACCTAGTGCTCCGTTTACCACTGGGACCACTGTTACCTTCACCCTCCACATCTTCTCGAGCTCTTCTCTGAGCCCTTGGTATTTCTCGAGCTTCTCGTGTTCCTTCTTCCTGATGTTCCTCTCATTCGGAACAGCTACATGTATATATATATAAATATATACGTGTGTGTGTGTGTGTGTGTGTGTGTGTGTATTTGTTTGTACCTGTTGAGCTCCAGTATTTGTGCAACAGGACTGAGGACAACATGGATGTCAGCATAGCTCAGAATGGCTCTGTTGGAGTTCAGAGCTGCTGTGAGAGGCTCCTTGTACACCTTCAGCGCAGATGACACATATCAAATGAATATTTCTAAATACTGAAAGCTTTCTTCTCTCTGATGTCAACATAAACACTGTAAGTGTCAAAAATGGACTTGCAGGGTTGTGGTTGCCCTTAAAATTCAACTTGTGTGGTTTGCATATATTAAATAATCGATACCTGTATTCTGGACTTGCTTAGACAGATGTATATATATGTTTTAGTTCTGAAGGAATATTGTTTTACCACTGATTGTTAAGGTCTGGCACTTGCAGATAAAAAAAACAAACAAAACTAAAGTATACCTTCAGCACAGCACTCAGCTTTCCCAGATAAAGACACTCGCTGTGGTGCAGCTCTCTCGCAGCTGCACCTCTCCAATCCAGAACCATCTAAAACCAAAAGAAAGAAAAGATGAATTAATTGTTCTCCTTTGAGTTTCCACTACAAGGGGCAGTTTAAAGCAGACACACCTGTGGTAGATCAGGTATCACGTTGAAGCATGTCTGTGAACCACCGTCAGCTCCAGTGCTGTCCTGTCCATTACCCTCTTGTCCCTTCTTCTCTTCATTCCAGTTTTTCAGAAAGATGGAAAGAAACTCCACAGGTCGGGTCTGAAGGTGTAAGAGAAGGTTAAAAAACACACACACAAACACTCTTATGTGAGTTATGTCCAATTACTATTTTCTTTTTCTGTTGAACTGGTGCATTACACAAACTGCTCTACAGTAATTCCCACCTCCTCCTCTCTGGTCAGAGCAGTGAGTCCTTCGATCAGAGCCTCGCTGAGATCTCTGGACACACAAATCTCATCAAGGCGGATTCTCTCCCACAGAAAATAGCCTAGAAAAATAGAATTTAACCAGACTGCTACTTATATAGTATTTTTCTATTTATATTTAGCACTCAAAGACGTTTCTTATTCATACAACACCTTATTCATAAAAATGCTTTTCTCTACAGTTAAATCATTTTAACCAGGGGTTCAGCATCTTGGCCAAAGATCCACTGCACTTCTAATTAGTAGACGATCTGCTCTACCTCTACACCACGACACAAATCAACACGTACATGAAACTCACCCAGAGCTCGGCCCCTGGCCTGGAGGCTGGTCCACTGTAGCTGTAGCCCTAAGGTGCTCCTCAGCTCTACCAGAGCCTCCTCCATCCAATGAGCCTGTGCGCACCAGCCCTGCAGTACAGCCTCACACACATACTGCAGGGCCGGGAGTGCTGGCTGGTTCTCTGAAAGGCCAGTAGGCACATTGCCGTCAGACCACTCGCTGAGGACTGGGAGAAGATGAAGTATGTTTAAAGAAACACACACTGTGAGGGATACTGTAGTCTACGAAACAATGACAGGGGAGGGGAATATTCCTATGCTTAGGGTTAAAGTTTAAGGGGTTACGCACTGTTCTGGAAATTCCCGGTGGCCACACCCACCGGTGCCCGAACCTCCAGACCAGTCAAAGTGGAGAGATTCTGGAGGAGAGTCACTCCTGATGCTGCAGAAGAGAAAACAGGAGGCGAAGCAGGAGGGAGCTGAAGTTAATGAGAAAATGCTGATTAGAGAGAAGAGTGTGTGTGTTGTAACATCTGCTACCAGATGCAGCCAGCGGGCAGAATATGTCAATCCCTCCTCCTTCCTCAGTTGGAGCCACCATGCCACACAGTTTTTCCCAGAATTCCCTATGATCAGGAGTCAGTAGAGTCTTCTCTGATAGGCTAGAGTCTGAAAAGTCAGGGCAGAATTACATAGTAGGTCAGCAAAATAGTGTAATAGAGAAGTAATATCTCTTGGGCTAAGTTTTGGTCAATGGATTAAAATGGCAGGTACCACTTTGTTAAAATGTTTTCAAAATGTCAGCACAGGACTTTAGTCCAGTTAGTCCAGAACAAACTCCTGCAGTGTGTGCACATGAATTTACTCATTGTGATTGAGTCTCACTGTGAAGCAGGTGAATGTCCTGTGTTCCTCCGCAAGCTAACAGGCCAATCCTCTGAGCTGGTTTCCCAGAAATAGCCCTCTCCACCTGGGTTAGCAGAGATGAGAGAGTCCCTCTATGGTCATAGAGAACCGCAGTCACACCAGGCTTCACTCCGCTCAACACCAGCTAGATTAAAAAGAGCGGACGGGGAGGAATGTTATTTATTCATCTTCCCAGTGTGCATTTTATTTCTGTACTCGCGGGAGTGTTTTATGTCTGCTGTTTCAGGAAAATAAATAAATAAATAGATGATGATGTGGATTCACCTCATATGCAGGAATTCTGTTGGAGATGAGCAATAGCAGGGCAGGAGCGGATAGGTGAAGGGGAGAGACTGTGTGAGGCTGTGCAGGTCTGTAGATAAAAGACGACAGCGCTCCTCGGATGTTTCGTGTTTCGCTGAAAGATGAAAATGCATGTTGCTTTCAGCATACTGTGACATTATATTATACAGATGTTTTCACATGTGCTCACAGATAAGTTATTCAGTGTATATAAAGTATTTTGTACACTTCAATCGATTCAAAATAGACTTTGAAACCTCCAGAGCCGAAACAAAGCGGGCTACAAAAATGAGTCACTCCCAGTAGACGCCATTGTAAAATGTCAAACTAAACAACAGAAATAAACATGTATACAGGATGCTACAAATATGGCTTTGGTCTCCAGGGATAAATTTCCCCTTTATAACAATGGTACAGTTGTTGAAGATTCAAAATGCAGAGTCCACTAACTGTGGTTGAAGCTAAGTCAGGTTCATCTAATATGTGGTCAGACAATCACCTGCTAATGCTGCAGGCCTGGACTCTCTCCCAGGTCTGAGGTGCACTTGTGGGCTGTCCTCTTTCCAGGCTGAGAGAGTGACTGGAAGAGCCAACGCTCCTCAGAGGCCAGGAGAGGGAGGGCTGAGAGACGAATGTTAGGCCAGACTCAGGTCTCCCTTTCTGGGTACCTCCACCTCTGGCTATTTCTGGCTTTGTGTAGCTGCCCCAGGGTTTCCTGGCACTCACAGATAGTCCTACAGATATCACAGATACAGTACATGCATCTGCCAGTAAGGGCGAGTTTTTACTTATCAGGAGCGTTTTGTGCTTAGCAATGAGTTGGAAAGGCAAAGATTAACTGTTTGAGAATCAATAAAATATATTAATCACATTCATTAAACACATTCAATAACATTCCTTCAGTTCAGGTTTATGTATTTAACACTAAATCATAAGATAAGTCGCTTTAACGTGCTTTGTACTGAAAGGTAAAAACCCTACAGTAAAACCAAAGTGACCCCATTTTAGATGGTGGGAATGAAGAACTCCCTCCTTCCAACAGACCCAGGGAGGGGCAGTCATCTACCATTACGCATTAGAGGTTGAAGGGGAAAGAGAAACGTAACAGAGATCATAGACAGGACAAAACACAGAATAAAAGATTGAGTAAACACTACCATTCGCTTACTAGTAACAAACCAACTGTATTTTAATTAACCAAAAAAACCTATTAATGGATGATAACCATTCAGGCACATCTCACTGAATTGTGAGACGCATGAAGGGAGTTAGAAATAGTCCAGTCTTAGTTCAGAACATTCACAATTCTGATTTGAACTTTGAACTGATATAAAAAATACAACACGTTTGACACAGGAAACCTTTGGATTTGTCTCTATATTTGTTTTCAGTCCCACAAAGCTTGTAATGACATTTATAAAAAGTTATAAAGGAAATGTCCCAGGAACTGTTTTCACTAGTCAGGAATCAGACCGTCAGGATCTCTGCCCACAACTGCTGCCCAACTCACATCTCACCAGAACCCTACAGTGCCTAGCGCAGGTGGTGGGCCCACAGAAGGCCAGGCCCCATGGGCTAACGCCCAACCACCACCAAAGTTGGTAGGCAGGTGTGCCGTGATACAATGATCACCCGCCAGGTAAGCGGACACACTGAAGAGAATATATCAGCTGACTTGCCTTGGTATCCTCCATGAACAACTTGCGGAGGTAGCCGGGGAGAGGGAGGTCTGGCTTTTTCTACGGTACTTAGAATACTGCCCCTACGACACAGACCCAGATTTTACCACCTCAAAAATGTGTTGCTATAGTTTCTACACCCTGTCATTTTTCTGTTTTTTCTTTTCCACTCACTCTTCTCCTCTCGAAGCTTTTCTCTGATTTGCTGCCTGATCCTCTTCTCCCTCCTCCTCTCTTCCTCCTCCTCTGTCATTCCTGTGCTTTGCTGGTTGAGGGTCCCATACATCTCTGCTGCCTCCCGTGGAGTGAGCCAGTCAAGTGTGGAGAGGCAGGAGACATAGTGACTTTTCCATGCACCAAACTCTTTTTCTCCAGGAGTGTAAGGAAGGAACCAGCCTCGTCTGATGCACCGGCCCGCCCACAGACAGTCCTAGAAAGAAGAAGAGGATTTAACTTGTTTCATAAAACCCCAATTAAAATGTATGAATACATTTCAGATCTCTTCAGGGCTTCTCACCTGCTCAGCTAGAACCCTCCAGTGCCAGCTGACTTGGGCAGCTTTGCAAAGGTCACGTGGGGACAGAAATGACATCACATACAGGGAGAGAAACCGAGGCAGCACCGACGTAAGGTCCACTTTAGTGACCGGAACCGTCTCAATCAGCAAATCCCGGCAGTACCTGTTCAGGTTACAGAGGTTACCAGTTTGAACTGTGCACCTGTGTACACTTTACTAGTTACAGTTTCAGGCTGAGATTAATGGTTAGGACACAAACGTGTACAATCCACTTTACCTGAGCTGTGACTTGGTGCAACGAGTGAGCAGAGAGTGCAGCAGGTGTTTCCTCTGTCTGTCCGTCCACAGATCAAACCAGTGCAGCACAAGATTCACTCTCTCCTCAAATAACTGGTATGGAAAATGGAAAAAGGATACCAACATAGACACATTCAGTGCGTGCAAAAGTCTCAAGCTACCTCTCATTTCTTAATATTTTGCTTCCAATTAGCCAGAATTTCTTGTAACTTTTTAAAGTGCTCTTGAGCAATAGTTCTCCAGGCTTTCTGCATGTCTTTCAAAGTTTTATTGGACATTGGCTACTTTTTCACTCATTTTCAGTCCAGTCCTTGTACCTGACCATTTTCAGAGGAATGCTTTTTGCTTGTTAAACCACTTAATACTGACCTAAATTCAAGTATATAAAAGGCACCTAACTTAAGGGAAGAACAACTGTTGTGTCTACACAGAACCAACTTAGCAAAAAACACTTTTAAATTGTATCTTTATGCACTTTGATACTTTGTTCTCATAACTTTAATTAAATCTACAAAACATTCCAGAGCAAAACAGAACAAAAGGCAGAAGAAGAGAGAAGAAGAGCTTTGAATGTCCTTCAAGAAGCCTGAAGAACTATTCCTGAAGACTACTTAAAGACATGACAAGAAAGCTGCCTAAGAGAGTTCAGACAGTGCTGAAAAATAAATACTGTCACACCAAATATCAAAGTTGTTAGAATTGTAAAAACCTTTTTTGTGTTATATACTGTATTTCCATGTAAGTTTGCACGTTTCAGTAAATCGCTTAAGGAACTGACCTCCCAGCCCATTGTTCCCTCAGTGGGCTGGTTTCAGTCATTATGCAAATGTACTGTTTATAAGATTTGGGGAAACCTGCAGTCAGCTGAGACTGAAGAAGTCACTTGGATGAGTGATGAAACGTTTCTCCCACAAAACGCTACGTCCAGATGAAGACCAATAAAGAGTCTCTTGCTGGACATTGACTTTAGGTATGCTCAGTTCTACATTCTACATGTAGAAAATACTAGATTGTGACAAAATACACAAGTATTTCAAATAAACTAAAATAAATATTAGGTGCTACTTTTCATTACATTTCTTGCAAATAAACGTAATGAAAGTAGAGTTCTCCTGATGGTTTTATATAAGAGGTGTGGGCAGTAAATACAAGGGATGGCCTCGAATTGCATTAGTTTCCTCTGATGGTCAAATACTCAAGCTACCAATGTACACAGAAATGCTGGCTCCATTGGAAAAACAATCAGTTTACCTTATTTAATAAACATATCTCTAAGAATAAACTTATTTTGCTGTGTTAAAAGAAGTGATTTAACTTCACCCTGGTTTTTTTATGTTTCATGCTTATTTTTTTAAACCTTCAGTTATGTTTGTTTCTCAGATACAGTAATGATGTTCCTGGGTCAATTTGACCTCGTACAGGTTTAGTTATCCAGGGCAATCCAATCCAATCAAGCAATAAATTCCAATAAACATTGTTTATATCTCATTATTAACTCCATTTCAATCAATATTTGGTCCACCTGTGTTCTTTACCCCTCACAGATCATGGTTCAATAAGGACATATTCGCTCGTTTTTCACAAAAAAAAAATGTACATTAAAACATTTTATTGTACATTGGAAATACCTACACGTGAAATTCACTTTTCATGACTGCTTCTTTTTTTTTTGTATTACAAACATATATATTGATTGCAACTTATTAAGTCAAGCAGAAGAAGCTTCATATTTAAGAAAAATACTTTTAATTATTTATTTATTTTTGTAGATCATTTTACTTTGAAATGTGTCAATTTGATCCGCAACATAACCGGTTGGAGTGGAGTTTCAAAATTAGGAATTCAGTAGCCTTCATAAAGCCCTGCACTGTCCTGAAATGCATTAACTCTGGTTTCAGTGACATATTGTTGCTAATAGAATATCACAAAGTTTATCTGCAGGGGGTTTACCAAGGCCCACGTAGCATTTCTGACCTGCAGGTTGATCCGCTTGTTGTTCAGGGGAGTCCAGCTGCTGAAGCGGGTGTCGGACAGCAGGGTGCCGGCCTGCTGCGGCTCATAGTCCGTCCCGCTTAGCTGCCACCGCTTCACCGAGTGAGGGGCTGATGTCAGGCTCGCCTCCATGTGCACAGGCGGTTTAAACACCTTTGAGGAAGCACCTTGAGTTCCGCTTCACTTAAAAGTCCGATCAATTTATTTCCAGATTGATGTCTTTAAGCCAGGTGTCCACTTGCCAGGCTGCCCCTTGTGCTGTTCTGTGCAGTCAGTCACCTTAGAGACGCATCAACAAAAGGATTCCTGCATTCCAGCACGCAGCACGTTCCCCTGCCTCCTCCACATTAATAATTCAACAGGCAGGGTTCACATATAAGCAATCACAAATGAAAGCATCAAATGCTACACAAACTTTATACTTAACCACTAAAGGCTTAGTGTGCCATATTTGATACATGTTTTTTAAGAGCTGTACATCATAAATGTGACCCCCTAAATCCCCCTGAAAAACCTACATAGGATTGCACAATACATTTTTAAGGAACAAAAGAATGTCTGGAAAAAATATTATACAAATTTTACATATACGGAAATGTAATTATCATTATTTCGTGATTTTTTTTAATTGTCAGATGCTTCAATAAATACTCCATTTTCTGGCAATTAATTCATGGTTCAGACTTTAATGCTTGGAGGATCAAAGAGTATTCCCTTAGAAACCTGTACAAGTGGCACATCACCTAACAATGATGATCCCAATGATCCCAAACATACTTCCAATACAGTAAAAGTAGACCCGGATAGAAAAAGAGCACAATGGAAAACTATCAATTCCGCCTCCCCCAATCCAGGTACTGTTATGACCCTATTTACTCACTTCTCTATTATCTTAGTTTACAGCTGCAACCAAGAAATTCAGACAGAGAACTTTATTGAGAAAAAAAACAAACAGGTTAAACACCCCAAAAACATAGGTTAAAATACAGTGTCCAAGAAAAAAGAAAAAGAATTTACAATCAAAGCAGCATCAAATTATCTTATCAAAACTCTGAATCCAAACCTAAACTCACCTAAAATCACTTAAAGTTTAGAACCAATAAGGCAAAAAATGATTAAATTAAGGCTTGTTTGTGATGACAACATTTGGACTGTTTAGTCTTCTCCAGCGTCAAAACAACACGCCAGTGATAACGTGTGCAGTGCATGCTGTGTGTCGCATGGGTATGTGCAAATATACTGAAATGGACCAAGTCCACTCTGCAAAAGTCATATGCAAAAGTCGCAAACTGGAATTAACTACTCTCAGTACTCACCGGGTCCTTATGTTATTTTTGGTTGGTTTAAGAATTTTTAAATCTATGCTGCTGTTTAAAGCTCTAATACTGAGAAACAATTAGAAACTAATGCCTAGACTTTGAAAAGTCCAGCTCTGTTTCTTACTGTGAGGAGATCAGTGCAACACAAGTGATCTACATACGTCTGTTTAATGTCAAAGGAGCACGTTTACAATCACTTTCAGGTGAATGGCATCACTTTGGTTAGCAATGTATTGCAAATCTAAACTGCTTGGAAATGAGTGAACGCACTACGGCTTGGCTTTAAACAATACAGGGATCCACCAAAGCCGATATAGAAAATACAGAATACAGCACATTAGCTAAAGATCTCAGAGAACACAAACCTCCCTTGGATGCAGCCACGGCTCAGGTAAGTTAACATCCTGCTGTCTTAGTAAGATCAGACCAGAGAGATTTCCATTCAATATTAGCTATTGTTTAAAAAAAAAAAAAGAAGGGGAGGGGGGGTGTAATGTGGTGCATCCCTATTAGATTATTTTACAATACATCCCTCCCCCTGTACAAACAGGGAACGCTTTGTTGCCATTTCCATTGCAATACATACATACAATCAACACTGCTGACACCTTATATATGAAGGATAGAAACTACCTAAATCAAAAATAAATTAATGATTTGTTTAAAAAAGAATTATATGCCATTAAATGTACAAAAAAGATTGAAAAAATATAGAAACTACTTTCATTGCTGAAATTTTATTTATTTATTAAATGTTAAATTAGATATTTGTTTTAAATTGCTTCTGCATTTACTTAGTAAAGAAGTCTGGATGCTTAATAATTTGTGTATATATATATATATGCATATTCAATTTTTTTAGCCCCAGACTTACTTTCTTTTGTTTTTTCCGCATTTTTTTATGCATTTCTGCTTCATTGTGCAGACTTTTAGCTAAAGGCAGCCACAATATGTGACAGAAAAATGCATAAAGAAATGTTTGAGGAAATGAGTAAGTAAAAACTTTCAAATGTGTAAGTCAGCAAGTTAAAATTAATATAAAGGTAAATAAGTACAAAAGCAACTTAAAGCAAATGTGCCATATATGGTCAATTTATTATTATTGTTATTTTTTTTTTTACTATATTTTGGTTCATTTAATTGCATATATATATATATATATATATATATATATATATATATGTATTTTGCATTTATTTATTATGGCAGTTTCAACCCCCCGTACTTATAGACCCCCATAGGTACTATAAATGAAATAGTCGGCTCAAATTTGATTGAGAAATGTTGGGACGACGGAAGTCACACGCTCGCAGTCCTTGGGATCTCTTGTGTGTCGGCTAGATTCAGTTTCTGACTGGAGAAACGATGTCAAGAAATACAAAAGTTACAGCAGCTGTTAAACGTGAGCTTATTTCAAACGTATTAAGGGCAAAGACAAAAGGATACATGGAAGAACTCAGCTCCTCCAGCTGTGGAGAAAAAAATAACATGTTTTACTTCACTACAAATGCAAAAAAAATGATTGCAGAATGACATTCCAGACTTTATTCTGTTCAGCATGAAGCCAGCTGACTAAACTCTTTAAGAGTTTAACACTTGCCGGAGGATAAGCAGCTAAATCCTCACAGGGATACTTAGTTACATGACATCAGTGAACGGATTATTTGGCAACACTGTTAAACTGTCAGGCAGCATGCCACGGGCTATGAAAAGAATATTTTATGAGTTATGTCACAGTGGCCTTACATTAAGGAGCAACTTGTCCATGTTGGTGTCGCAGGCTGTTTTCCTCTGATCCTCGGGCATTTCATCCACCTCACCGTAGAGGTCAAAGTGCAAGCGTGCCAGCTTCTCCTGCATCTCTCTCACATGTTCCATTTGGTCAATAGAGCACTCATTGCCTAAGACAAAAACAGTCCTCAGTTATCCGTATCTATCATATCTCTCTCTAAGTGTATAGGATAATTTCTATTACTGGATATATGAAAGTCAGTGTGTGCTCTGGTAAAACGTTCCTGTTTTTAGTGAGAATTACCAAATGCCTGTAGTTTCCCTGAGTGGAAGTCGTTGAGGAGACTGAGCAGGCCATTCTCCATCTCCTGTACATCTGAAACATCTGTGAGAAAAGAGTGCTGGACGATCGGTGTTGCCTGGCCCTGGTTCTGACTAGCTTTACCACCCAAACCCTGCTGATACCTGGGTTTATCCTTCACTCCCCTAAAACAGGCGGAAGCAAATACAGGCAGAGTGAGTACAAGTCAACAACCCCAGTTCGGTTAAGGCTGGGTAAAACTGAAAAATATTGAGAGGTTAAATCATTGTAACTACACTGTTACTACCTCCTGCTCTTGTTCTTTTGGCTGGAGTGAGTCCCCGTGTAGCCAAGATGCCGTCCTCCAGTGGAAGCGCTATTCTTCCGGCCAGAGCCACCGGACGGAGGCGCCGCGCTGGTGGAAGTCCTGGGACTCTTTCTTTTTAGCTTCCGCTCCTCCATAACTTCATGTTACGGTGCCACTTGGTGAGCTGACCGGACTGGATAGGTAAAAGACGAAAAGCTGACAGGTTGGACTGTAAATCAAAGCCCAGCCCTGTGGCTAACCGTACAGAATCAGCCTGGCAGGGCAGGCAGGCTCCGTACAAACCGATGGCTTTCGTGACTAAGCTAACGCTAGCTCAGGAGCTAGCTACTCGGCTAACCTTCAAACTTCTGACACGGCGTTTAAGCCACACAGCACAAACAATAGCCGATAGATATATTTACTCCCAGTAGCAGCTGAGAAGGGTATACGTTACTTCTGTTCGTGACAGGTTGTCCACTAGATTAAAACATTTGAAAATTCATAGTAATTTCCGAATGTACCCCGCAGGTTAGGTGGCTAGCTTGCAGGTCCAAACTCTTGAAAACTTCCTGTTTTGGTAGGACGCAACGGAGCAGATTGGGGCCGAATTCCAAACCATAACGCTTCACGGCCACTATCCATAGTCAAATTACTAAGTAAAACATGCTAAATCGTGTTACACAACAACGTGGTGCCAATCAAATACAAGCAAAGCTTTATAAAAGCACAAATATACTTACTTTTGAATAAAATAATTTTTTTGACCTTCTCTGTAGAGTCCTCCTGAGGCCACCAGGGCTGCATTCCATTATAGTTTGATATGCTCTCACCGATTTTAGTACTATTTGTTCCTTGAATATTTACAAGACATTTAATATCATTCTTAAAATTAATTTCATTTTAAATGTACTTTATTAATTTCGAACATTTATTTTAGTTGTTATTTGTGAAGTTTTATATGTGAATGCTTGTTTTTATGCATTCAGAAAGAGGAATTTCTTCTTTCTTTCATGTTATTTTTATATTAAGCACATTTTATGTAATTATTTTAAGTATAACTCTGCAGACTCGGTTATTAATTTCGTTTGAGTGAGCTAACTATGGGTATTATAGGTAGCTTAAAACTAAACTAGACTACAAAAAAGGAAAAAATAATTGAACTGATGTGGAGAGGTTGGAAAGCTAACTAAAACAAAGTAAAACATATAGAGGAAATATAGTTCATTTTAGTATCTGTTAGTATGGTAAAAAAAATTATTACAGCTTCCTTGATGAGGCATTGATGGACATGATTATCGAGAAGACAAGATGTCTACAAGACTGCGAGTCAACTGCTTTTAAAAAGTTGTCTGTTATTATAGTAACTCTGGAGCTAACAGAGGAACATCACCAAGCAACATCTCCTCTACTTTGACTTCGGTGTAGTTGCGTAAAGCAACCACAAGAGAGCGATAGGTGAACACCTAATAATGATGCCCTGCTTTCCCCTTTTCTTAATTAGGAATTCTTTGCTGATAAACATAATGAAAAGAGGCTCTTTGTACACTTTAGTTGTGCATATTTTCACAAATATAAACGAAATTAAAAAACCCAGCTTAACTGAATTCCAGACAGACTATTCAACTTTTTATTGGCAACGCCAAATATTTTGCACTCAGTGAGCATCCGAGTGTGTGTGTGTTTAGAGGTGTGTATGCAATGCTATTCCAGTCCTAGTCTTGAATAGCTTCATTAATAGCTGATTTTATTCACTTTTACTGGAACATAATGAAGAAAAAAACCCAACAAATTCTTCTGATTTTCGGCATTTGCGATTGCATTGCTGTCCCTCACTTGTATTGACAAGCTGGCCTTTGTGTTACTCAGTAGAGAGAGAGAAAGGGAGGAAAAAAAGGTAATTCAGGAAG